AGCTGGTAAAGAATCTGCCTGAAATGTGGGAGACCTGGGTTTGATGTTGGGTAGATTCCCTGGAGAAGGGAATGGCTACCCACTCCAGTATTCTGGCCTGGAGAAATCCATGGACTATCCCATGGGATAACAAAGTCAGACATGACTGAGTGACTTACACTTTTACTTTCACTTTACAAAAAACACCAACTCAAGCTGGTTTCACAGACAAATCATATAAACTTGCAAAGAGAACCATAGCATTGTACTTCATACTCCTTAACTATGGAGGTGATTCTTTTCCTACCTGCTAAAATTATTCATCTCTGTATTGTTTTCCTATTTTGTCATATTTGTTTCTGAACCATTTTATTCTCTTTCTTCATAAAAGCAGTCAAAACAGAAATGCACACTGATTTATATTATTCAATATCAATAAACATATGGACGACTAGCACGTATTATGTCCCTAAGGAGATTGATTCGGAGAAGGCAATGGCACCCACTCCAGTAGTCTTGCCTGGAAAATCCCATGGATAGAGGAGCCTGGTAGGCTGCAGTCCATGGGGTCGCTAAGAGTCGGACACCACTGAGCGACTTCACTTTCACTTTTCACTTTCATGCATTGGAGAAGGAAATGGCAACCCACTCCAGTGTTCTTGCCTAGAGAATCCCAGGGACTGGGGAGCCTGGCGGGCTGCCGTCTATGGGGTCGCACAGAGTCGGACACGACTGAAGTGACTTAGCAGCAGCAGCAGCAAGAAGATTGATTACATGAAAAAGCAGCAGTTGTACATTATTAGTACTCAATCTACTGCTGCTGCTGCTGCTAAGTCGCTTCAGTCATGTCTGACTCTGTGTGACCCCATAGACGGGAGTCCACCAGTCTCATCTGTCTACCGGATTCTCTAGGCAAAAATACTGGACTGGGTTGCCATTTCCTTTTCCAGTATTCCCTATAGGCACCTACAACTGTAGGTTTACTCCAAAGCCTATCAACCTTTGCCTTTGTTAAAGAACATACATTGTTGAGATGAGTTTTTATGAAGTACTTGAGTCCTTAACCCATTAGTCAGGGATAAGCAGACATGTGCCTTGCCCCATGAAAAAGGGATCTTATCTGTGATCTTAGATAGCACACTTGGTAAGTCTATGTTTATGTGTGTGTAAATAAAGATAAGATACATACTTTTAAATTTTAGAACAGTTTTAGATTTACAGAGAAATGTGTAAAGATAGGATAGATTGTTCCCATCATATACTACTCTTAGTTATTTTATTACATTGGGTATTTAGAATCATCACAGGTAATGAACCAATATTGATAATTTATTATTGACTAAAGTCTATACTTTATTCATATTCCCTAAGAGTTTACCTAACCTCCTCCCCTGGTGTGGGATCTCATATAAGATGTCACATTACATTTAACAATCGTGTCTCTTTAGGCTACTCTTAACTATGGATTTGCCTCAAAATTTCCATTTCTTTGATATCCTCGACAGTTTTAAAGAGTATTGGTTAGGTATTTTGTAGAATGCCTCCCTATTGAAACTTTTCCAGTGTTTTTGTAGTGATTGGACCAGGGGTACAGGTTTTTTGGAGAAAGATCAGAGTAATGTGCCATTTTCATCTCATCATGTAAAAGGTACATGGTGTCAACATATCATATGTGTTGACCTTGACTACATTACTGAGGTAAAGTGTGACAGTTTTCTCTACTGGAAAGCTATATTTCCTCTCCCTTTTCCCATACTGTATTCTTTGGAAGGAAGCCATTTTGTGCGGCCTACACTGGAGAAATGGAGAGTCATGCTCTAGGAGCTTGAGGATGGAGTATCTACCTAAGCTTTCTGGAATTGTTCCATACATGAGATTAGTCTTTTCTCCTCTTCTCCATTTATTTATTCAATCAATTATATTAGTATTGGCTCTCAATATTTTATTGTATGCTGTGAGTTGTAAAACAACACCATTTTGTCATTCAGATTGTTCCATCTTTGGCCATTGGAAACTCCTTCTGTTGGTTCCTGTGTCTCTTTGACACATTTCATCACTTGTGTGTGTTAGCACTTTACTTTCTGGCGTGAGAATAAACTTCAAGATCATCTTATATATTTCCAGCCCCAGTCTTAAACTCATCCCTGCCTCCTTTATCTAAGAATATTAGAAATTATATACAAACATAAAAATCTTTCTACATGAAATTATCTGTGTGTAAATAAAACTAAACATGAGTTCATACTGATGATTCAAACCAGAGTGGTCAATGTGGTAATGGAGATATCAGTAAGAATTTATTCTCAAGAGTTCTACAGTTATATATGGTAATAGCATTTTTACATATAACACACTTATGTGGGAAGAAAAAACCTCTCTGATTCTCTAAAAATAACTTTTATGTGAATACAAAATGTCTCTGTTTTATAGTACAATCCTCTTTTTATTGCTGCTCCTATATGCCTTTGACTTAAAACATATAATCAGAAATTTAAAAACTGGTTGAATCGTAGAGATTATGTAATCTAACTATCCCACTTTACATGACAACATTAAGATATTTTCATGTATTTTCTTTTGAAGAGGTCAGTGGCTGGATCAGTTTCAATTCAAAGTTCTAGCCCACAAGTTTAAAAAAAAATAAAAGTAGATTATATAACTTACAAGGTGTAATGGATACTGATAGTAATGAAATCCAAATAAAGAGTTCTAGTAAATTATGTTTAATTAAATATCAATATGACTAACTAATAATGACAAAATTAGAATAGAGAGAAAGAGAAAAGTAGAATTACATACTGAGAAAATTTTGCTCATCCATATGCCTTTTATTCTTTCATTTTGTCTAAATATCTTTGATTTGAGAAGCAGTACCCTACATTCAAAAACATTAGTTTGAGAATCAGAAAATCATTATCTAGGTTTATCTTTAATCTATTTATTCATCTATAAAATAAGATAATCATCTTGATCATAACTAAGCTTTAAAGTTCCATGGACTCTCAATAATTACATAATTATTTCTGATCAATTGTAAATCAAACCTATTTTTGAGATTTTTTTTAAGATTGTAGAAATTCATAGATTATTTGGCTGATCATTCAAACAGAAATGAATGGAAAATGTGATATTAAATGTCATATTTCCAAACTCCAATCAAGCCTGAGTCTTACCTTAAAGAACACTTAATTTATTATTATGTTAATAATAGTAGCATTTTACATTCCTAGTTGTTTTAGTGGTTCCCAAGTAAATGGCAACATTACAGTCAATTAACTGACCTTTTTATTATCAGAGCTATTTGCCAATATTCTATTCAGGTGTGGTTTGTTGTTTCCTACACAAGTTACAGTTGATGTTCTGCCAGCCCAACGTTAATGAGAATAAGCTCCCTAAAAATTTGTATTCTTAAGCTGCTGTGGCAGTGCTCTCAAGTTCTGTCAATGCAGTTTGACAATGCTGCTTTTATCACATAAGAACAATAAAAAAATTTTTTAAAAAAGAAGAAAGAGAAACAATATAATTCACGTGTATCTTTTTTTAAGTTTTTTTTTTAAATTTTATATTGGTGTATAGTTGAATAGCGATGCTGTGTTACTGTCAGGATACAGCAACATGTACATGTATCTATCAGTGATTCAGTTCAACATGTACATATAGCTATTCTTTTTCAAATTCTTCTCCCATTTAGGTTATTTGAGAATATTTAGCAGAGTTTCCTGTGCTATACAGTAGGTCGTTATTGGTTACCTAAATATAGAAATGTGTATATGTTATTCCCAAACTTCCAATTTATGCCACTTTCCACCTTTCCTTTGGTAGCCATAAATTTGTTTGCTGGGTCTGTAAGATTGCTCCTTTTTGGAAGTGAATTCATTTGCATCATCTTTTTTATAAGATTCTGCATATAAACAATCATATGAGGCTTGTCTTTTTCTGTCTGACTTAATTCACTTAGTATGATAATCTCCAGGTCCATCCATGTTCCTGCTGATGGCATTATTTCATTATTTTTAATGGCTGAATACTATTCAGTTGTATATACAGAGTACATCTTCTTAATTCACTCCCCTGTGATAGAAATTTAGGTTGCTTCCATGTCTTGGCAGTTGTAAACTGTGCTTCAATGAACATTGGGGTGTATATATCCTTTCAAACCATGATTTCCTGCCAATGTATGTCCAGGAATGGGATGACTGAATCATATGGTAACTCTATTTTTAGTTTTCTAAGCAACCTTCACACTTTCCTCCATAGTGGCTGTACCAATTTACATTCTCAGCAGAGTATAGAAAGGTTCTCTTTTCTCCACATTCTTTCAAGAACTGCTTGCAGATATTTTGATGATGGCTACTAAAGAGGAGAGTGAAAGGGTTGGCTTAAAACTTAACATTCAGAAAACTAAGATCATGGCATCTGGTCTATCACCTCATGGGAAATAGGGAGAAAGTGGAAACAGTGTCAGACTTTATTTTTTTGGGCTCCAAAATCACTGCAGATGGTGACTGCAGCCATGAAATTACAAGACGCTTACTCCTTGGAAGGAAATTTTTGACCAACCTAGACAGCATATTATAAAGCAGAGACATTACTTTGACAACAAAGGTTTGTCTAGTCAAAGCTATGGTTTTTCCAGTAGTCATGCATGGATGTGAGAGTTGGACTATAAAGAAAGGTGAGTGCAGAATTGATGCTTTTGAACTGTGGTGTTGGAGAAGACTCTTGAGAGTCCCATGGACTGCAAAGAGATCCAACCAGTCAATCCTAAANAAACTAATATGGGAAAATAGTAAATTACAAGGAGATATACTCATTTTTTAATGGTCAACCTGTAAAGAAGCAAACAATGATTCTTGCTTTAGAATGGCAACAACTTGGGTGTCTGGTGAACATTTTTTTTTCAATGTCTTGACAAAATACTATAAATATCCAGAGGATTTAGTAATGGGCTTTAATTTTATAGCATCTCATCATTTTATGAGAGGATTATGTGAAAACAATGATCTAATTCTGTCCAACAGCTCTTCTACTCACAAGAAGGAACTTCTCTAATATAAAAGAAACTTCAATTGTAAATTTAATGGGGGGATGGTGGAAAATATCCAAGTGTGCCAAGAGACTCCTTCATCTTCTTCCACAAGAGAAAATAAAGCCATAATATCTCCTTAAGTTAGAGGACAGCAATGCCCAGCAGGATTTACAAGACACATTCACATCTTCCAGTGTTTTGGAAGAAAATACTCTTCCAATATTCCAATTTTTTTTGTTCTAATTTAATAAATACTTATGAATGTTCAATGATGCCAATTTAATTTTGTATATTCACTTTTTTCCTAGAATCTTTTTAAAATGAACAATTTCTTGATAACTGCCTGAACCCACTAATCATTTTCATTGGATTTATTTTATTAGACACACTAGACTACTTCAAAATATCTCTGTTTCACAGGTAAAAGCAACTCAGGATCATATATAAACACTTTTGAAAACAATAAGTTTGGATTTATCACATGATATATGGAAAGCTGAAAAGAAGGAAAAGATCCTAAATATCCAAGGATTAAATTTTTTGTGTTATGTTTATTCATTCCTATCTAATATTTTATGTACATTTGAAAAAAGCATTTATGAGTTGATGAATAATGATGTTATTGTTCTATAATCACAAAATGCTCATAAATAATACTATGGGTAATACCTCTTTACTTGGTCTCACTAGGCTCAAATTTTCTTGGATTTCTTCTAAATCCCATAGATATTGCTACCTGTTTCTTACAAATGTCCCAACTTCTTTGCAGACTGCTTTAAAGATGGTAAAGCATTTACCTACAGTGTGGGAGACCTGGGTTCCATCCCTCAGTCAGGAAGATCCCCTGGAGAAGGAAATGGCAACCCACTCCAGTATTCTGGCCTGGAAAATCCCAAGGACAGAGGAGCCTGGTGGGCTACAGTCCATGGGGTTGCAAAGAGTCGGACACGACTGAGCGACTTCACTTTCACTTTCACTTTAATGTCAGATATCCCTTAGCTTCTGCCTTGACATATTCTCTGTCAAATATCTCTACCATTTTGATGGCTTCAGTCACACTTCATGTGCCTGAATCTCTCCACCACCATGTCTAACCCACATTTATTTTTGACATGATAATGTTAAAATGCCTCCTGGCCTTCTCTACTGGAAATTGAGGTAATTATTAATTTTTTTTTCTCTTGTTTTTATTTACTATCCCTCACTCTTTATATTATCCAATATATAATTCACCCTATGTCTTCCTTTAGCTAACTTATGTCCCTAATTTAAGTCTGAGCTTGGAAGTCACTTTTTCAGAGATGACTTCCCCTATTTTATTATTTTTTCATATCCATTTTATCCTTTTGTTCTCATCTTTAATCTAGATTAAAAGCCTCTATTAGAAAAACTTTATAGTACCTAATATTTTTATAACTTTACACAGGACTATAAACTCAAGGAAGGCTAAGGTCACATTTAATCATTAACCCTAATGCCTACAGAACCTAGTATGACATTTTTATGTAATAAAATTTTGTTAGTAATATTTTTTAATTTTGAGTTATTTTCAGGTAAATTTGCACAAGACAAACCACAAATTATATGGCAGTTATTACTATTAATGCTTGATTTTAGTATAGTAGAAATGCAGTTGAGTTTTCAAACATTCTAAATCTGAATTCATTTTTTTCTGTCATAATTTAGGATGAAATATAATGTTGATTTTTAGATAACAAGGATAGCATTTTTATAATTAATATGACTGTGACCAAGTTACATATTTAAATACATTTTGATGTTATTTACCAATATACTAGCAAGGATCTCCGTATAGGCTGCTCAGAATTATTCTCTCTTATGGCTCCAAATCTCACTGTGCTTCCAAAAGCAAGTGGTATAGAACAATACATGTGCATTTTTACTGATTAGTTTCTATCATTTTCCTAATATAATAAAGTTAAAAATAGCAATAAAGCCTAAAGTCTAATGTATGGTCCACAAGAATGTTAATTTTGACTTCCTACTGTGAACTTCTTTCCCTTATTACTGCTAAATGAAAGCAACAACTCTGAGTAACTTTAGGTAATCTGTCCAAGAGTGCTCTCAAATAATCTAATTAACTGAGGTTTTTCATAAACTCCACAGCATATTAATAGTAATTCTTTTTCTAAATAAAATAAAGAAGCTATTCCTCATCCACAATTTTATAAAAATCCAAATTATATTTAATATTTTTAAATCAATTTTAACACACTTTCTATTTATCCTTGTATTAGATTATGTGTGTCTCTGTGTGTGTTAATGTCTCAGGTGTGTCCGACTCTTTGAACCCCCATGGACAATTGCCTGCCAGACACTCTGTCTATGGAATTCTCCAGGCAAAAATACTGGAGTGGGTTGCCATTCCCTTCTCTAGGGGCATTCGATTCTACGTGACTTAAAAATCTATGACCTGAAACTAAAATCCTTTCAGATACTTTTATCAGACAGGTTTCAATTGTGATGATAATAAGCCTACAATTTAAGCTAATATATAAACAGAAAAAGCAGTGTTCAAATCCATCCATAGAAAATAGTTTTCTATCAAGTGACACTTTGACTATCTCTGCTTCATTTGAAACTTTTCTCTGGAAATCTATAGAATTAAAACCAAAACAGTAACCTAATTTTCTCTGTCCCCCCCCCCATTTGAAATCCTGCTATTGTTATCTAACTTATTAATTTTATTTTTCTTCCTGAGCTGTGACTTCTAAACTACTGCGTTTTGCCACATAGTTTATGTAGAACTAGAACCATTTAGAACGGTTTATTTGTAAATAACAATCTAATTCCTTTACTTTAACACTTGTCATCATTTTCATGGTTGAAATCAGTGAACCACAGTTAAATAATTAAATTAAAATATGGAGAAATTTGTCACATAATTTAACATAATGACAAAAGTTAAGGAAATGACTTTGCATATTTTTCTCCATACACTGTATTAAATAAAGGAATTACTTGTTATAAATGAAAACTGGATTTTGTGAAGCATAAAAACAAAGGATGAAAATGTATATTGATGGTAAAAGAAAATAAAAACACTTATGCAAAAATATATAAATATAATAAGAAAGCATGGTTCTATTGCTGTGAAATATATATATATATATATGTATATATATATATATATATATATATACTATCTATAACAAATATATATATTATTTTCCCATAAGTTTTCTTTCTGTATCTTGATTATTTCCATTTTTCAAGTTAGCTTTCAAAAATAAAAACATGTGATTAGGTCAAATCTTTCTTTCCTAAGGATATGTGGAACAATTTGCAGTTTCTTGATGTTTTATTCTGTGTATTTAAAGAAACTGGAAACTAAGAAACATGTATTAGTCTATATCACCCAATGTTATATAATTAGGAATCAATATTATATTGTATGAAATTTAGTAATTTGTCTTTGGATAGTATTGATTATTATTGACTCTTTATTTACTTCTTAACTACTTTTTATTCCTGCAGCATCAAGCCAGTTTGACATATATTCCACATTCCACCAGTATAAAATCATACAATTAGAACTCTGACAAAATATATCAAACTTGTAATTTTGCCATTTTCACTTTCTAAAATTTGAAGAAAAGTAATTGTCCTCTTCAAGTAGAAAATGAAGTACACTAAACTTGTCAATATGAACTCGGAAAGAATACAACAGTAGTGGAACAAGGATTTTACATTACATAGTTACAATATATGACTATCATATTTGATACAGAAACTATTATTGAGTTGTGAGAAGGAAGGATTTACTGTATCTAAAATAGTTACTCTACGACTCTTAGGGGAGGGAAGGAATTTCTTGGCAGAGAAATAAGGAAAATCCTGGAAGGGAGAAAGAAGTAGTTTTAAAGCTCAACGTTGAATATATTCCCAGTGAGGACCTGAGATATAAAAGACCAGAATGAATGTTGTTAAATTGCCATCTAAGAGACTTACACAAGGAAAGCTGGTCACTTTTGACTCACCAGCTACTAAAAACTGTAGAGATTCTTGACACACTTCACATCAGTATAAGAGATGTTAAGAAAATGAAGACAGAAAATGTGTTTGCCTATTATTTCAGTCATCCCTTGTGCTTTTGTGATGAGAGCCAAGACTGTCACAATGTCAATGGGAACAAGAACTAATTACTGAAAGATATAAAACCACTGAAGTATTGGTGTGATCCCAGATTTGTATAAGACTAAAAGGAGGACCCAAGCATGAATTTAGGTCCTATGTATGCCACTGCTAGAATTTTGAATATCTTAAATAAGTGACCCATACAAAAAGGAGACTTCTAAGGCAGAAAGTAAAAGATGAGTTCAGTAAGAGAAATGTTGAATCTATGATTATAACAGACCACTCAAATTTCTTAGAATTTCTGATATAAGCAGTATAGCTGTTTATTAGACACTGTTAGGAATTCTAGTAAATAGATATAATAAAAAGATAAATTGATTCTCTGGTAGCTCAGACAGTAAAGAATTCGCTTGCAATGCAGAAGACCTGGGTTCAGTCTATGGGTTGGGAAAGTCCCTTGGAGGAGGGCATGGCAACCCATTCCAGTATTCTTGCCTGAGAATCCCCATGAGAGGCACCTGGCAGGCTACCATCCATGGGGTCGTAAAGAGACAGACATGACTAAATGACCACAGACAGGTAGACTGCTATTTATAAAGATTTTGCTTTATTGATGAAGTTTGAGATGATGGGTCTTGATAGATTATTTTGAACAGGATAGACTATTGGCTTCTTTAATTACTCAAAACTATAATATATGATAAATTAAGAGACATTTGTTATTTGAGGGACACTGTTTCTGAGAAATGAAGACACTGTTAAAGAAGAGGGAGGCTTTCTTCCCAGCCTGTCTAGGGAGAAATTTTCTGCCACAAAGCAGCAAGATAACTTGTTTTAAATGTCCAATATTAAATCTTAATTGGTTTCTATTTATACGATTTTCCTAGAACTATTAATACTTCCTTACTTCCTTATACTATGTCAGCTATTGAGCCTTCCTTAAGCAAAATTTGACTTGAATTGGAATTGGGGCCCATTCTATCTGGGACTTTCCTGCTTTTCATGCAAAGGTACAATCCATATATCCTGAGAACTGGCTTTGAAGTGCTCTCCTTGAAATAAGGCTAAGCATGTCCAGGTAATAAACC